ATATCTACTCTTGTCCCAAGTAGGCTACTGAATTATTTGATAGAATTGAGAATCTACTCATCTCTTTAGCTTCCAGTTCTCTGCACATGTCATTCTTCTGCATGGATAATCCTTTCTCAAACCTTTCATAAATTCACTTCCCTTGACCCCACACCTAACCTGACTAATTCCTACCTTCTCTTCCCTTTAGGAATCCTAGGCATTCTCGCATGTTCTCATATATCACCTGCAACTTCCTTTCATGATAGCACTCATTTGACTTTATTGTGACTAGGTGTTTAGGTATCTGTTTCCCCCACTACATTGTAAGTTTCTCCAGGGAACAGTTCCATTGTGCAATATTGTATCCCCAGAACCTGGAACAGTATCTAAAACTTGTAAGAAATGTAATAAATGAGAATGGATGACTGAATTAATTACTTAGGCTTTGCTACATTTAAAGGAAAATTGATGTATTTCAGGATTTAACAGATTAAAGTTATGTGTACCACTTCATGTATTTGTTTATTTACAATCCGTTCAAAGTAATTGGAAATATTTCTATTATTTCTTTATTTATTTGTTTATTTATTTATTTATTTATTTATTTTGGGGGGACAGAGTCTCACTCTGCCACCCAGGCTGGAGTGCAGTTGGCTCACTGCAACTTTGTCTCCTGGGTTCGAGCACTTCTCCTGCCTCAGCCTCCCACGTGCCACCATGCCCAACTAATTTATGTATTTTTAGTAGACACGAGGTTTCACCATGTCGGCCAGGCTGGTCTCTAACTCCTGACCTCAGGTGATCCACCTGCCTTGTCCTCCCAAAGTGCTGGGATTACAGGTGTGAGCCACCTTGCCTGGCCTCTCCATTCTTAATAGGAAATAATAAGGATGATTTGAGTTAAGATTGTTGAATTCAGATATTATTTTTAGAAGTCTATGTACATTCAATATTGGGTGCATTTCAGAAAATAAATATTTTTATGTACTACCCATAGGAATTAAGGTTGATAGGTCCTGTTTGGGAAGATATTTGGCATATCTTGTAAAACTAAAACTCACATATCCTGTAACCCATTAATCTTACTTTTAGGTATATACTCTAATAAAACACATGTTCACAAGGAGACACACATAAATGTGCTCATTTGAGTAACAGTAGAAATTAGAAATGGCATGAATGAACGTGAATAGGAAAATGACCAAACAAAATTAGGTATAATCACACAATGGAATGATTCATAAAACAGTTAACATTTGTAAGCAGATAGATCTAAAAATATGGTGATAATCATAAAACAGCAAATTGCAAGATGATAATTACCCTATGCAACCATTTCTGTAAATAGAAACCTCACCAATAAAAACAACATGTATTGTTTATACAAATGCATGTATATTTGAAAAACATGACAATTAGGATGAAATTATATTAAATTAGCCATTGACAGTCATTGCCTCTGGGCAGGAATATAAGTGATGAGACTTAGGAAGTAGTCAAAGAGATCTTAATTTTATTTACAGCATTTTAATTTCTTCATTTTTTAAAATGTTAGTGATGAAATGTGGGCATTAGTTGTACAGATTATACAGTTATCTACGTATTTTATAGTTCCTGCAAAAAGAGAAGGTGATGGACACCTAACCATGCTCTAAGTTTTGGAGTTGAAGCCATCAGTGGGGAGTGGGGTTTGGGGGATGGTGATGAGGAAAGTGATATGCCACAAGAGAGTGCAAAAGTACAGCATCAAATCCTACCTGTAGGAGTGAAAGATGTCAAGGCAGAGAGATTTACATACCTTACAAGTTACCTTTGGAGGATGCCAAGACACTCTTGAGGGAGTTAAGAGAAGCTCATGAGTACTGCAAAACTAATGGTCTAGGACAGAGAAAGAAAATGATTGCTGTGAAAAGAAAGGAACAAAATTGGCAAAATGACGTTTGCTGTTGCTGAAGCTAGAGAGTGAAAGGCAAACACGCTGCATCCTAGGTCTGCTTACTACAGATAAGATTTCTCTGAATGTAAGAGTCAGTGCACTGAATATTCAAATGTCAGTCAGTAGTCTTTAACTATAAAACAAAAAGCATCCATAAACACATGACCCACAGGATGGCTTTGTGCTACCATTACTGACAGTTTTCTTAAAAGGAGATTAAAAGACACTGTACTCAGGTTTCCTATAGACAAATGAAAGTGACAAGGATGAGAAACATGCAGTGTGTAATGCAGATAAAGGGAAAGAAGATTTTCCAACAAATACATATTCTGCTGACAGAATGAAAAGAAAAGCAAAAGAGAAATAAGTACAGTTATGAATGTTGAGGATCATATTAATTAAAATAGACTTTGGGAAGGAGTGTTGTGCTTTTATCAAAGAGAGTACAGTATAGTTTTAAAGAGAAAGGCCAATGATCCAGAGTGCTGAATGGCTGGGTGATTTTTAAACCGGAGCCTTCTAAGTCTGTTAATTTATTTACTGGCTATGACAAAATCCAGAAAAGTATCAATCGCTATAATAACCCAGTTGTATTTATACCAAAGGTCAAATATTACAAGCCTGCTGTTCAAGAAAATAAACATGTAGATAAGCAGAAGGCATAGTTATTAAAAGCAACAAAGCTGGGTTTAATTCTAGCACTGCCTCTGGTTGGCCCTTTCAGTTTGGGTAAGCTGCCCAATGAATCTTTTTCTCAGCCTCCTGTACTGGAAATACGAAAATCAAAACAAGTGCACCATTAAGTCCTTTTCTGTCTACTATTTTGGAAATTTATTAAATCTTTCTGATATGCTGTGGAAATAAGAAGAAAAGGGTGTTTTGTGGAAGAAAATACATTATTTTAGTAAATAAGAGCAGATACATGTTATTGTATTTTATATTTTTTGTGTTTTGAAACAAAGTCTTGGTCTGTCATCTGGACTGGAGTGCAGTGGCACGATCATAGCTCACCGCAGTCTCAAACTTCAGGGTTCAAATGACCCTGCTGCCTCAATCTCCCAAATAACTGGAACTACAGACACCTGGCACCATGCCTGGCTAATTATTATTATTAATAATTATTATTTTGTAGAGGTGGAGTTTGTTGCCCAAGCTGGTCTCAAACTCCTACCCTCAAGCAATCCTCCCACCTCAGCTTCCCAAAGTGGTTATTGCACTTTATAAATTGCTTAAGTAATATATGCTTTCCAAATCATGTATGCAGAAGGACTCATAGGTATTAGAAAATTACTGGATTGCAAAATTGAATATGGAAATCTACTGTTTGGCATTTTACTTTCCTTTCTTCGATATACTAGAAGAATAGCTACAAATATTTCCTCTTAATTTCCAAAATGATTTGAAGATTGGGTTCTCCTTGCCCACAGATAAATAAAAACTAATTTTGGAATTACTGATGATTTTGGTGTGCCATTTAGAGAGATATTAAGGTTTATTTTGAAAGAACAAACGAAGGAAAGAGCTTGAGTTGCACACTTATCTCCTATTCACATTCCATTGGCCCAAAGTTGGTCACATGGACACGTCTAACTGCAAGGGAGGCTGGAAAATGTAGTCTTCAATGGCGATCAATTTATGCAAGTAAAACTGGAAACATTTTGTTACTAAAAGAAAAAAAAAAGTGGATACTACATGGTAAGGCAGTTCCTAAAGAAGGGAGTAAGTCTAGCACCCTGAAAGAGCTGAGTAGGAAATTTGACAGAGCATCAAAAGGATATGTTTCAAGTGTGCAACTGTCATGAGAGTGCTAAGTCATACTGAGGAACACACAGTTTTCACTGCACAAGCACCTCCTATCCCTTGTTTCCAGGGTATAGGTTGTTAAAAGAAAAACTTTAGCCAAATTAAATTTAAAAGAGTTTAATTGAGTAAAGAGTGAATCAGGTAGTCTCCCTGAGCCAGAATGGGCTCAGAGACTCCAGTGCAGCCACCTGGTAGAAGAAGATTTATGGACAGAAAAAAAAAGAAAGTGACATATAGAAAATAGAAGTGAGGTATAGAAGCAGCCAGATTGGTGATGCTCAGTGTTTGCCTTATTTGAACATGGTTTGAACAGTTGGCCACCTTTGATTGGCCGATCAAACTTTTCTCAGGGATTGGCACAAGAGTAGGCTATGGTCTGTTTACAACTCCATTTAGATTATAGTACATGATGTATGGAAAAACCTTTAGGCTGAACTTAAAATATGTAAGGAGGCAGCTTTTGGCTAAACTTGATTCAATGCTGTCAATTTTACACAAAGGGTCTAGTGAAAACTTCGCTTCATCAGCATTCAGGAACCCTCTCACTGGCAAGAGAAATGCTATTCTATACCACAAGTCTATTCTTAGGCTCTGATAAACTCTGTATGGCCAGACACTGGAAAACACAGGAGAATAGGTGTGAAGCCCTGGACAGCTAGGGTAGCGGTCCGCTTGAATAAGCAAAAGACTCCACCATACATTGGAATAATCATTAATAATACATTTGCTACTAATGTTTATATAGACATGTCTTAATATGAAAAAAGCAATGTACACATATATAACTGTAATATAATATAAAGCCTATATAGGGCAGATCAAATATCATAAATAGAGCAGGACCATATTTTGAAACATCACCATTAAGTAGAAGATTTTGTTAGTAGATGCCAAGGTGATAGATATTAATTGTAGGCAAGAAAACTAATTTTCTTTTAAATGTTTTATTTATTAATTACTTTCATAAAAATTGTACAATCCCAAGTGTAGATTTTTCTCACTTCGGCATGAGAAGAAGGGCTGTTGTGGATGTGCATGTTGAATGAGAAATGTGTTTCTTTAGCTCAAACTTTCTGTTCCATTATTGGGAACAAGAAATAATTTCTCCTGACAGAATATACCTGAGATAAAATGGAATTGTTATGAGGAAAATTTTTCCATAGCTGTATATATACGTAAAACATATTTATCAGTAAAAAGACTGTTTTAAAAATGTTATACACGGTATTTTCATTTTCACTAATTGCTTTAGTGTGGCAGTAATTCACTAGGAAGGATCTGAGGTGTTCTCTCTCCCAAGACTCTTTTAATTTTATGGAAAGCCACAATTAAGGAAGTTAAATTTTTTAAATCTTGGGGAGAGAAAAAGGTTTTTTGATGTCTGTTTTACCACTTGACAATATTGTGACTGCCTAGAAGCTTTGAATATCCTGTGTATGTTGGCTAATTTTCCAGCTTATGAGTCTGATCCTTCCCAAGGTAGAAGCCAGAAATTAAGTTCTCAATCTCTCCTAAAGTTGGGATAGAGGCTTGTGACTTACGTGCTACAGATTAAGTATATACATGCCAGTTTTGACTATAAAACTACAAATTGAAGAATTAGATATCATGCCCGATCCACTTCTGTTCTGGTGGCTACACACCTATCCGGTTTCTGAAGACCTCACCAGCAAAAATTTTAGTGTTATTAGCCAACATCCAGCGTGGCGTCTGTTGCCAGGGTTACTGAAGCAGTTATGAAGTGTGATTTTGATTTTCTTCTTTGATTCATAGCCTGGTTTTCTGTGTGGTCTTCAAGATTGCTTGAGAGAGAAGAATGGGAATTTCATTGAGTATGTAATTATTTATTTTATATATCTTACATTTTTTTTTACTGTATTCAGAGTAAACATATTCCATTCACTGAATCACTTATGAATACATGATTTTAAATAACTGCACAGTATTTCCCATTTTACCCTTCAAATCTATGTTTCTTTTTCACATTGCTTTCTTTCTGGGGCTAATCTGTGTATATGAAATAAAACAACTCCTTAGATCTCTGGTTTCAGGTGGATTTGGACAATGGGGAACTAGGGTAAAATAGCAGAGAAAGGAGGAAGCCTGAAGTCAGACATTTGTATTCCCCTTGTTCCTTCTTACTGGATTAACTCTGATTGGCTGCTGCTCTCAAAGAGATTCACTTTACATCCAGATTTTGTTAATTGCTACTTACTCACTCCAGCCTAGACATTGCATTCCTTATGATTTACTTTCACACACTTAGATCCTCTTCAAATAGCTTTAATTTGTGACAATTATACATTTTCTTTAGGGTCTCTGACTGGAGCAATATTCCATTGTAGGAATATATCATAATTTACATCACTATTTTCCTAGAGTTTTACATTTAGGATTCTCTTGATTATTTTAAGTCTAAACATTGCTGTAATTAGATATTAATATATAATTCTGATGATTGTCTCTGTTTATTTCTTAATTATATTTTCTAATTGCTGCTATGCAGAGACTGACTTTTTTTTTAGTATGGATCTCTTACATTCACCTACATTGCTAAGATCTAATTAGCTATAATAGCTTAGCTCTAGAGTTTCTGGAATTTTTATGGAGACAATCCTATCAGCTGTAATTAAAATTGTGCATCTTTCTCTCTAATATGTCTGCTTTCCATTTCTGTTTCATATCTTATTGTGTTGTCTGGAACATTTAGTAACATGTTGATTATACTGTTTTATTTTAAGTTAAATTGTACATCTTTATGGGGCACATGTGCTATTTTGATAAACACATACAATGTGTAATGATCAAATCAGGGTATTTAGGATATCTATCACCTCAAACATTCACCATTTCTTTGTGTTGGGTACATTTCAAATCTTCTCTTACAGCGATTTTGAAATATACAACACATTATTGTTAATTATAGTCACCTTGCTTATTCCTTAGACCTAACTGTATTTTGTATCAATTAACCAATCTCTCTATACCTCCCCTACTCCAAGCTGTTTTAATGGGCATATTTTCGTCCTGATTTCAAAGAGAATGCTTCTTAATTTTACCACTAAACATAAGCCTTTGCTTTAGGATACATTTCTAGATGCTGAATTATTCAAACAGTATAAATATTTTAAAGCTTTTTGGAATATATTATGAAATTTCTCTCCAGAAAATTACAACATTTTATAACATCATCAATAGTTCCTGACAGTGCCTTGACCCACATAACCTTGCCAACATTAGCTGTGAATTCTATATGTTTTGTTATTTGTAACTAGATTACCTTTCTCTGCTTCATGGCCACACTTAAACCCTAATTTACCACAAGAACAACAATAACAAAAAGTAGGAATAAGATTCTGCTGAGAATTGATCAAGAATAAATATTACCCTTGTCGGTAGCTGACAACATATTCCATTTGTTTTATTTGTTTGTTTATTTATTTATTTATTTATTTATTTATCTTTGAGACAGAGTCTCTCTGTTGCCCAGGCTGGAGTGCAGTGGTGCTGTCATAGCTCACTGCAGCCTCATGTCCCAGGCTTAAGCAATCCTCCTGCCTCAGCCTCCCAAAGTGCTGAGATTACAGGTGTAAGGGACTGCACTTGGCCTCTATTTACTTTAAAATAAAGACAAATATTTTTATTTTCTAAATTCGTGAAACCACATTTTCTCTGTTAAAATATTTCTAAAGCATTTTAATCATTGGGAACATTTTTTTCTTTCAATAAAGACCCTTAAAATTTAGAAATCACCCCTAAGCTTGGGGGTATTGTTTTTCTCTAACATAAACACTAGATACTTAAAAAATAAAATTAGAAAACCAATTTCACTCTACCTGCTACACACAGTTTTCTAAAGTGAGATGTTTGTCCCCTAGCTGCATAAATGTAAGTCATAAAAAATGCTAAATGTTGACAGTTTTACTCCACCTGAAATTTACATTAGGTAGTCACTGGGCTATAGAAGGTACAATGTCTGTGAGAGAACTCATCAAAAACATAGATATAAAACATATACCTGTCTTTTGTCTCAGAAGGCTGCATGACTTTTATCTCATCCCATAAATAATGGAGGCATCAGCACATTTATCTGCACACAATAACAAATCCCATCCTCTTGGTAATTGTAAAAACACTGAAGCCTGTTATTGACCTTGTGTAAAATATAGGCATGGGAGAGAAAGACAAAGAAACTTTTTGTCTGTCTATATCCACATCTAAAGCCCCATCACGCACTTTGAAAACCATTAAACTAAAAGTTAACGATGTGAAAAGGAGGAGGAAAAAATATATTATTGAATAAAGCAAAATAGACAAGTTAAATCAAAAGATGCATCCATCCATACCATGTCACTCAATGTTCCTATTTTCTTTGCTGAAGTTTTTGAGATATTTGCATTAAAGGAAGATTGAAATCTTCAGATCTCAAAGCTCTGACTCATATTGCTAGTTCTCTCTTTCTTTTTTTACTTCTAACATTCTTTTACTGTGCTTATTTATTTTGCAAATAAATAGTCTGTGGATATGTTTTTAAGGTACCTTTCCTATATTGTTAGAGTACACATTTTCTGACTGAATTACAGTGAAAATGGTTAGCAGCTATTTATTGATCACCATTTGCAAATATTTATATCCACATCCTAATCTCTGCCAGTTTCCCTGGGCTGGGCTCAAGAACTACAATGCTCCGCATTGCCCTGTGCCTTACAGCTAGATGGCATGATAAATGATAAGTCATGAGGTCCTCCAATGAGCAACACACAATAATTACCATAATAGTTCAGAGAAGGGAGAGACAAATGCAAGCCATGGCAGTGACAAGAAGTCCCTTAAAAGAGGTAGGTTTTAGTTGGATCTTTAAGGCTGAGGTTGAATTGATGGAAAAGACAACAAAAATATTTCACAAAGGCCAAGAAAGATATGCATTATTGTTTTAGTCCATTTTAACACTGCTATAGAGAAATACCCAACACTGGATAATTTATAAAGGAAAGAGGTTTAATTGACTCACAGTTCCACATGGCTGAGGAGGCCTCAGGAAACCCACAATCATGGTGTAATGCAAAGGGGAAGCAAGCACCTTCTTCACAATGCAGCAGGAGATGGAGAAACAAAGGAGGAAGTTCCAAACACTTATAAAACCATCAGATCTCATCAGAACTCACTCACTCTCATAAGAACAACATAGGGGAAACTGCTCCCAGGATCCAATCATCTCCCTCCCTCAACACATGGGGATTACAGGTCCCTCCTTCCCTTCACATGTGGACATTACAATTTGAGATGAGCTTTGGTTGGGAACACAGAGCAAAATCATGTCATTCTGCCCTTGACCCCTCCCAAATCTCCTGTTTTTTTTCACATTTTAAAACCAACCATGCCTTCCCAATAGTCCCCCAAAGTTTTAACTCATTCCAACATTAATTCGAAAGTCCAATTCCAAAGTCTCACCTGAGACAAGGCAAGTCCCTTTCACTTTTGAGCCAGTAAAATAAAAAACAAGTTAGTTCCTCCCAAGATACAATGAGGGCACAAGCATTGGATAAATATTCTCATCTCAAATGGGAGAAATTGGGCAAAACAAATGGGCTACAGGCCTCACGCAAGTCTGAAATCCCATAGGGCATTTCATTAAATCTTCAAGCTACAAAATGAACTCCTTTGACTCCATGTCTCACATTTGGAGTATGCTGATGCAAGGGGTAGGCTTCCTTGGCTTTGGGCAGCTCCTTCACAGGCTGCCATTGAGTGTCTGTGGATTTTCCACGTGCACAGTGCAAGGTGTCAGTGGATCTACCATTCTGGGATCTGGAAGATGGTGGTTCACTACTCACAGCTCCACTAGAACTCCAGTGGGGACTCTGTGTAGGGGCTCCCACTCCACATTTACCTCCCACACTGTCCTAGCAGAGGTTCTCCATGAGGGCTCTGCCTCTGTGGGAGACATCTACCTGTACGTTCAGACATTTCCATACATCCTCTGAATTCTAGGCAGTGGTTCTGAAACCTCAATTCTTCCCTTCTGACATTATGTGGAAGCTGCCAAGGCTTCCACATGATGGAAACAATGACCCAAGCTGTACCTTAGACCATTTTAGCCACACCTGGATGCAGTGCAACGAGTCCCAAGACTGCACAAAGCAGCAAGGCCCTGGGCCCAACCCATGAAACCATTTTTTCCTCCCAGGTCTACAAGATCTCTGACATGCCCTGGAGATATTTTTCCCATTGTTTTGGTGAGTAATATTAGACTCTTCATTACTTATGCAAATTTCTGAAGCTGGCTTGAATTTCTCCCCAAAAAATGGGTTTTTCTTTTCTATCACATCATCAGGCTGCAAATTTTCCAAACTTTTATGCTCTGCTTCCCTTTTAAACATAAGTTCCAATTTCAGATTATCTCTCTCAAGTTCAAAGTTCCAAAGAACTCTAAGACAGGGGCAAAACACTGTCAGTCTCTTTGCTAAAATGTAGCAAGAGTAACCTTGGCTCCAGTTCCCAAGAAGTTCCTCATCTTCATCTGAGACCACCTCAGCCTGGACTTCATTTTCCACATCATTATCAGCATTTGGGTCAAAATCATTCAACAAGTCTCTAGGAAGTTCAAAAGTTTCCTACATTGTCCTCTCTTCTGGGCCCTCCAAATCATTCCAACCCCTGCCTGTTACCCAGTTCCAAAATTGCTTCCGTATTTTCAGGTTATCTTTGTATCAGTACCCAACTCCTTGTACCAATTTACTGTATTAGTCCATTCTCAAGCTGCTATAAAGAAATACCTGAGACTGAGTAATTTATAAAGCAAAACATTTTAATTGACTCACAGTTCAGCATGACTTGGCGGGGGGGGCCTCAGGAAAGTTACAATCATGAGGGAAAGCAAAAGGGAAACAAACCCCTTCTTCCCAAGGCAGCAGGAGAGAGAGAAATGAAGGAGGAAATTCCAAACACTTATAAAACCATCAGATCTCATGAGAACTCACTATCACAGGAACAGCATGAGGGAAACT